ATCTTCCCTTGAATTTGCTTTGATGAAAACAATTCAACAGCGCTGTAAATACTTTCAAGTACTCAGCTTCATCAAAACTAATAATTTTTTTTCCTTTTTATCTAGTCTGCTCAAATTTAGGCTCAATTCGTCTTGGAGAAAAGAAATTAAATTAAGTTGAGTAGGCCTAACCTGCAAGCTTTTCTAAAATACAAAAAAAAGTCAGAAATATAAAATTGTCTTATTCTATTAATTATAAAGAAAGCCTTTAGGTTAGAGCTGTCTGCTATATATATTTTGAGTTTGATTTATAGAGTAAAACTAAAAAGCTGGATCTACACAATATAAAATACTATAATTTAACCTTTGAAAGAAATTTTAAGAGTATTAAAGTGTTGTAATATTTAGACTCTAATCCATCACACGAAAGTAAAAAATGTTGCTATTGCTTTTTAATTCATTTTATTTTAGTTAATAGATAAAAACTTGAATTTAATTTATTTAATATAAAAATTTAACTATGGATAAATTTATACTATTTTTGATTCTTTCATTTTAATTAATTTATGCAACAGCAGACAGATCCCATCAAAATTTGAAAAGATACTACTAGAAGAAGTAAGTTAGGATTTAAACTGTGAATTTAAGACATTAATTTTGTAGTATTAGTTGCCTATCATAAAGTCTAAAGAATTGAGGGAAAGTATCAAAAATTACAGGAGTTGAACTATTTAATTAATACTATGGCAGTATCTTTAATATCCTAATTTAACAAGTATCCAATTTTAATTAGCATTCAAAATAACTATGTCGATAGTAAACTATATTAATATACGATTATCAGACATCCTACGAATTCAAAAATTTATAAACTAAATGAATGCTTTGAATTACATTCAAGTAGCTCAAATATATCAAATTCTTTTAGAATTCCAATTATCAAAGGTATAAGTGAATTAATAACTTAGATCTTAAATATAACTTTTTACTTTAGATCTTAAATCATTGTATTTAGAATGTAAATTTATTTTTTTAGTTGAAATAATATTTAGTAATCATCACAAATAATATAGATGTTAGTAATTGAGGGGTGAATTATATAAATATAAACATATTAGAATTTAAAAATAAAATCAGTTTTATTTCAGAAAGAATAATTAAAGTTAGATATAAGCTGAAAATTACAAATTAATGACTACCTAATTTGATTGGAATCTTAAATCATTAATGAGTAATTATTTGATATATAAGTCATGCAATTATGATTAAATTCCTATTTGAAATAAATGTTAATGTCATCTAAATTTGATAATAAAATGTTTTGAAGGTATAAATTAGAAATTTTGTGCTGCCGAAAAGGATAAATACCTTGTACAAAGTATCTGATGGAGATGATTGATATTGAGAACATACCCTTGGAATTTAAATTAGCAGTTGATTTTTA